TTAATTAACTTTTTTTCTTATCTAAGTATATACTTTAAGTCATTTCGAAGTGCATTAAATTCTTGATAAAGTAATTCATCATTCCGTTTTTTAGCTTCAGTGACCTAGAAAATGCAAAACAGAAAAAAGTAATAATTATTTTGAAGAAAATATTTCCTAACTAAAACTATGCATGCACTAATTGAAGCATATAAACCTGAGAGAATTTCTTTTTTCGAGAAAAAAAAGTATCTGATGCGAATGAAGGATCAAGAATAGAAAGAAGTATTGAGATATTTTTATGAATTTTCTATAGAAAATTTTTAATAAAATCAAACAATTATTTATTTCATATTTTCGAAAATAATATACTTTTAATTGTAATTCTTCATTTTCTTTTTTTAATTGAGCAATTGTTCGATCAGTTTGATGAAAATGTTGTTTTAATTTATCATTATCACTTGTTAATGCACGCATTTGTTTTTCATATGCTTCTGAAAAATAATCAAATAGAAAATATATATATATATATATTTATTTATCAAATAATAACAAACTTAGTTTCTTTTCTAATGCTTCTTTTTGATGTAATGTAACTTCATCAAGTTTACTTGTACGTGTAACCATTCCATTTTGATGTTGGGAACTTTGCATTTTAGCAACTAATTCTTGTTGAATACGTAATTCATTTTGTAAAACATCTTTTTCACGACGAAGTGCTTCTGTTTCAGTATTATTCTAGATTAAAAATATATTTTAATTAAAACAAAAAAACGATTATAATTTACAGTTGAATGACCATTTTGATATTGAACTGGTACTTTAGCTTTGAGTAGTTTATTTTCTAATTGTAATTCCTGAATTTCTTTCGTTAAATGCATTATATCAAGTTCTTTTTCTTGTAATTCACGTTGAAGGGTTGTACCATCGCAATCGAATGCAAGTAACTAAATAAGATAAAACAAAACGTTGAAATTTTATTCTGATTGATGAGATATTTTAGAGGATAAGTCTAATATTAAACTTACATCCATATTTCCAACGTTCATTTTATTATCATCATCATCCATTTTCATCATTGTTGATGTTGATGTTGTTTGTCCTTTAGTTAATATAGGAATTGAATGTTCTGAAGTATCTGATGATGCTCTATCATCATTTAATTGTGTTAATAATTTTCCATCATATAAATGTTTTAAAACCATATCAAGTTCTTTTCGTCGTTCATCATTATTTCTCATTGTTGATGATGAATTTGAACGTGGTAATGTTAAATTAAGACGATCACGTAATTCATCAGCTAATGTTGATGATTTTTCTGAATTATCATTTTGTTCGAGTTTAGATTTATTATTAAATAAAGTTGGAATATTTGAATAACTTGAATAATTTCTATTTGGTAAAGTTTTTACACCATCCATCATAAATGATGATATTGAATTTGGTATAGTTAATGATGATGATGATGGTGCTTCAACAATATCATCAATTAAATCATGACGCGTTGGACGACCTTCAATTTTTGTAGGCATTTCAAACTATCTAGAATAGAAATAATCGAATGAGAAAGAAACAACAGAAAAAGTCAATCAAAAAGAAATACACTTTTAAATATACCCGGAGAAATTGTTCATTGTTATGAATAAGTTCAGACTCAACTTAATATATTTTTCTTTATTTCTCTCTTTACTATTGAAAAGAAAAAGAGAGTTACAGAAAAGATGCAATTACGGACATATGCTATTTAAGTATTTTTTTCGTTGTAACCTATAAATGAAAAAAAAAGAATAAGACAAATGAGAATTGAAGAAGCTCTATGGCAATGACGAGAACAAAAATACTCTTGTCACATCAACTATCGTTCACCATTGATGCCTATAAAATTTCAACTTGAATGAAATTTATATGACAAAAAAAAGTTGCTTAGAAATTTTTTTTTTCTTCTTTTATTCATTGTTCATGACTAAATGATTGATTTGACCCTTCATCATGAGTTCTTTCAATGTGATGAATGACAAAATTTCACTTACTTGACCAAGGCAGTTAGCGGCATTCTTTTTTTCTCTTTCTCTTTTTACATACTTCCATTTCCATTCAAATATGTACCACGCAACCGACATCCGCCATTCTTTAAATATTCTCCTCGGTTTCTCCACTGGTTAGCAACAAAATATGATTAAAACTAATAGATGACGCTAGTTACCAATGATTATGTAAGAGCAAAAAATTCATTCAGTCAAAATAGTGAATCGAACAAGACGGCAATGTACGTGACGTACAATTTCCTTTTCCTATCATAAAAACTAATAAATATTCTAGTAATGTCATTGTATTTCTCTATGAATCTCGCTAGCAATTTGTTCTGAAAATTTTCAATTAATTCCGTAATAAAATGCCTTTGCAATTACACACAAAGAACATTCAACTCTTTTTTTTGTACTCTATAACATCCTAATGAAGAAAAAAAAAGAG